TAAAAAAAGATCAACAGATAACGAAAAAAGACTCAAAAATAAGTACTTTGATATCTATTTTATGCGCCAAAGGCAGACGAACTAATTATGATGTAGTGATCAATTATATAACACTTCATTTTTCAAATTGTAGTGTGTTACCACAGAATCTAGCAGGTCAATGTATGCACTGTAATAATCAAGAGCATAGAACATACCATTTCTTGGTAGAAGGTGTACAATACAACTGACATCAGTAAGCTCATTCATTTATATTCATATTGATAGTATGCATCTGGAAAGAAAAAGAAGTTGATGGCTTTAACAAGGCTTCTTCTTGGAGATATATTAGCTGTTTAAAATGTCAACCTATGGAGTACAAAAAATGAGTACCACTTATTATGGAGTGATAAGACGTATTTCTATTTCAAACCGAACAAAAACCAATTAGCTTTAAACAACAGGCAGGGGAAAGAACTGGATCTTAGTTGTAGGAATCGTGCAACTAGGTGGCGATTCTGAGAAAGAATCGCGATCGATTCCCGTTTCCTAGAAAGAAACGTGTAAGAATCGGTTTCTGTGGAGAGAGAAACGCGATTCCGTCCAAGATGGGATCGTAAAGGAGAGGGAAGAGAGAGAGAAACCCTTGCCTTCAACGTTGACATGAGAGGAGACAGAAGAAGGGTTGTTGAGAGAACTTACAGTGGACCAGTGCTGAGATTAGGGCTTTGATTGCCTTCGTCACTCTCTTCTCTCACTATCGATCACGATCGTCTTCATCTCTAAGGGCTTCGTCATCTTCGTCTCTCTCTCTTCGTCTCCATGCTTCTCTCTCTCTCTCTTCGTCTCTATGTTTAATTGATCATATATAATATATAATATATAATATATATAATTATTTCATATTTAATATATATAATAAATATAATTTATGTAATAAAATTTATAAATTTTAATTTTTATCATATATAATAAAATTTCTAATTGTTATTTCTTAAAAATCATATATAATAATTTTTGTAAATTATTATTTCTTAACTTTTAACATATAATAAATTACATAAATCATCTAATTATTTAAAAGAAATCTAATTAAATCACATAGAATAAAAAAATTATAAAACAAAATATCTAACATTTCTTTTTATTTATTTTAACATAATTATTATATTCCTTATTTATTATAATTTTAATTATAATATATATATATATATATCAATTAAAATAAAAATAAATAAATTAACAATAACACATTATTTAAAAAATATAATAAATAAATAAAATATTTAATGTGTATTAAAATAAAAATATTTATAAAAAAAATTCTAATGTGTATTAAAAAATATATATTTATATCACTGCTCCCTGAGGCGTTCCCACCTAAAAAATGCTCACGCTTCCTTGCTTCCGCCCCCGCTCCCACTCCCGCCCCCGCTCCCGCTTCTGCTTCGTTAGATTATAGGTTTTTTTCTTTCTTAAAAGAGGATCTATTTGAAAGAAAAAAGAAGAAAGAAGAAATGCATTTTGAAAATCCTAACCAAATCTTGAGACAACCATAAAACATTTACACACATTTTCATCTGTAAAATGCCCTTTCTCTTTCTTTTCTATCTCATTCAACTTAATAAATTGATTGTTGTAAATGGGAATGGATTCATGTAAAAAGGGGCTCATTTGCATACAAATGGGCTACTATAATCATGCTAATAAATAATATTAAACCAATAAGTAAAAGAATTACCAATAACTCAATCATCCCAACAAGGGCATCGGTGATACAAAGAGAGGCAGCATCACCAAGCACTCACCAGTTACATGTTTCCCTAAGCTTTCTACCAATTACAAACTAGCGCCACTTTTCTTATATACATATATGAGTGAGTGAATGTGTGTAAGAAAGAGAGATAAGAGTGAACTGGGCAGAATCAGAGTCCGATTATGCACATAACTCTGCACAAAACCAGTGAAGAAAAAGAAAGAAAGATGTTTTTCGGTCAAAGAGTGAAAACTCTAATTTTCCTCAATTTGTCTCTGCAGATGGTGTGCTAAGTGAATGAATGACTAATAAGTAACTTACATATAGGGGCAAACTGAACTTTTTGTTTTCACATCAACGATGTGAGGTATGCATTTTAGTTCACAAATCACATGGGGGTTAAGTAGTTATTATCAAATGATAAGGAAGCTTTATGCTCATGACCTATACCACACAGGGTAAACTGAAATTTGCCCTATCCAAAAATTGATCGAGAGCAGAGAAAGGTTAGATACACCCAACTCCCAAACTACACAACCCAAAAAAATAAAAATAAATAAAAATCTATGAGTACACATATGAGCCTACACAAAGATATATGTATATGTGGCTTGCTTGATTTTAGAATTAGGTACATAACACCAACACAAATACAATAATAAGAATAATAATAATAATGATAATAATAATATGATGCACAATTGGAGGTACAAAACTAGGGTACACAAAAACTGTGAGAATTCAAAATAAGAATCATACATTTTATTACCATAATTGAACTTGAACAAATGCCTTTGTATGAAAGTGACTCTGTTTTCTAAACAATTTCAAAAACATGTAGTCATGAACAGATTATTCAAATGCACAAATAAATACATACATACATATAAAAAAATATATGAACCTGTTTACTAAAGAGAATTGCTATTAATTTTTTTTTTGAAATTTTTTATATGAATAAAAATTTCCTTCCAATAAATAAAATTCGTAACATGCACTGCTTCAAATAATTATGATATTATAAGTGTGATACGCTCATTCACCTTATGAGATGTATATGTTTTGATTTTTCATTAATAAAGACTATCAATTACCTTGAATATGAGTGAAAACATCCCAGTTGCTGAGACTCTTACCATCTTCAAGAATTGCTCCTTCAATCTGTGACAATAATATGGAAAAAGTCTAAGAAAGGAGAGAGGGCACAATTTAGAAGGCAAGAAGAAGAAGAGACATACTTGGTATGAAGAAGTGGATGTTCCAAAAGAAAACCATCTGGGAATTGTGATCTTTTGATGTCTTCTGCTTCATTGAAGCTCTCAACAAAAGAATGAACAAAGGAAAAAAGAAGAAGAAAGCAGAGTAGAAATGGGTACTTTTGTCTTTCATTATGGTTTGCTTCAATTTGTCAAAGATTTCCAGATCAGTGTAACTATGAAAAACTTATGGACATTCTGGGCATATTGTGTCACGACCCGAACCCGCCCTCGTGGGTTAAGGACGTAACCAGCCAGTAATCATGATATTACTACGGCCTCAAACCAAACCAAACGTATTTTAACAGAGTTAATGGGGGCCAAACGAATCAATTTAAAACTTTGTCCATAGAGTTGTGCTTATATGCACGTCATAATATCCAGATATGTACGTTAATAACTCACGACAGATAGTGAGTACATAAGTACTGTACAGACAGGATCATTCAAAACTAAGTCAACCCATCACAGCTATGTATAGATATACACAAAGTCCTTGCCAACATGACAAAATGTGAATACAAAACAAAAGGGCGAAGACGGGTCTCGTACGTGAGACACGAGGGCTGACTCTCCAAAACCTTTGTTGCTCCTCACAGACTTCACTAGGGTTGGGTTTGGACTTCTCTGGCTCACCTACAAACACATGAATGAGCGTGAGCGAAAGCCCAGTGATAATATCAAATCAAATACAAAAGTTACATAACAATGTAGAACAACATGTTCCAAACGGCCTTGGGCCCAATTCATATTTCTATTTAACAGATAATATATATTATATATATAGCTATACGAAATTCAAATCAAGTAGCTGTAGTTCCAACATTCTGGCCTTTGGCCCATTTGGTTTTCCATTCATGGCAAAACGGCCTTCGGCCCATTCACTTATGTCGAAACGGCCTTTGGCCCACTTGTTCATGTCAAAACGGCCTCGGCTCACTCATTCACGTCAAAACGGCCTTCGGCACTCATTCACGTCAAAACGGCCTCGGCCCACTCACATGTGTCAAAACGACCTTTGGTCCATTCATTTACATCAGGACGACCTTTGGTCCATTCATTCATATCAGGACGACCTTTGGTCCATTCATTCACATCAAAACGACCTTCGGTCCATTCATTCACATCAAAACGACCTTCGGTCCATTCATTTATATCAGGACGACCTTTGGTCCATTCATTCACATCAAAATGACCTTCGGTCCATTCATTTATATCAGGACGACCTTTGGTCCATTTAGGTTCATCGAAGCGACCTTTGGTCCATTTATGTTTATCGAAACGACCTTTGGTCCATTTATGTTTATCAAACGAACTTTGGTCCATTTATGTTTATTCCTGTCAGACTTTTGTCCACAATCCAATTAGCAACTCATAAAGCTTATAAGGGAATAATAATGGACATTCACAATCATTCAAAATATCGATATTACTCAAGTGATCGGCTTGTGGATTTGCCCTGGAGCTTGACCCTACACATTTCATGAACACAAAATGGTCATTAGCAATTCAATCCGTTCCTTAATTCACATATTCCTCTTTAGGCTTTATTTCTATCTCATTAACTCATTTACAATGCTTAACACACGCCTAAGAGTGATTACAAGTGAAAGAGAACGGAAAACGAAACACAGAACGCATGAACAAAATTCCAGAAATTAGGGTCCCCGCTTGAGCGTGTACTTACCCGCTCGAGCGGACCCTTAAGGCCTGCAAAAGTACTGGTTGCATGAAAAATGCGCTCGAGCGTGTAATAGAGCGCTTGAGCTGAAGGCCTGTCTACAAAACTCCACGCTCGAGCGTGAGGTTTCCCGCTCGAGCGGGCATCCAACTCTGCAAAAGTGCTGGGAGCACGATTTTCCTGCTCGAGCGGCCATTACCCCGCTCGAGCGGACATCAAAAATCTGGGTTTCCCAGATTGTGTCCTTGAGCTCCAAATCGGTTTTCCAGCTACATTACTTGCATGCAATGGCTCAAATTACACATTTACACATGCTAACATGCTACTAATACAAGATTACAACATCAGGAAGCTCAATTTCATGATTTATCTACATGCACGTCCCAAAATATCTCAAACCCATCACCAACATGCTCAAATTCAAACATTCAAGACTTATACTCCCATGATTTGTACATGCATGTGGGAGATGCTCATCATTCTCAACTTAGATGGTACAAATGGTGATTACAACATGAGCTTTAACCAAAATCTACATGAATCATGTGTTTCAAGCTCAAATATGCAGATTCAAAGTAACAGGTAATTTCTTACATGCATGAGTTCCAAGACTTCAAACTCAACAAAAATCAACTTATTACATGCTCTTTAACATTCTATCAACTTTGAACTTACAAATTACAAACAAGAGTCCATGAATTCACTTACCTAAGAGCTTCAACCCTCAAGCTCTAGCCAAATCTTGAGCTAGATCTTCAAATTCCCAAGTCTTGAGCCCAAATTACACAAGTCTCTCCCTTTCTCTCTCTACAATCGGCCCTCTCTTCTCTTCTTTGAGTTTAATATCAGTCAAAATGAGGCTAGGGAGGGAGAGATTTAGTGTTTAAAGCTTGACAACAAAATCCACTAAAGCCAAGATTATAATAATAAAGTAGTTGGGCTCTAATTCAACAATTTAATCGGTTTAATCTAACCCGAATCAATTTTCAATTAAATTTCACCGTAGGTTCTAAAAATTATGCCAATCACAACGGCGTAATCAATTTCGGGTTCTGTGGCCGATAAGGCCTCCAATTTTAATTTCCGAAGCGGTAAAATCAAACAGATATTCCTACGGTGAACAGATAGAAATTCAAAACCACATATTTTCACATAATGGGACACAAAATCATATCAAAACGCATAATCACATCATATTAAGGACCAATTAACATATTACGGAACAGGGGTATTACATATTGGCTCATCTATATATATATATATTTTCTTCGTGGGTTTGGTAAAGAGTCAAAGATAAGTGAGTGCTACCCCTTATAGCCTATAATAGTACCCACGTTGGAGTCCAAAACTTGGATTTGTTGTGCAATAATTATTTTGTTGAAAATTAGATATGCAATAATTTAATAGATATAGAACCAATCAATAACCACATCATAGACCATAAAAAAATTGAGCAATACTACAGTTTCGAAACAAAAAGCTAGAAAAGGTTCAAAATTCAATATCAATGATCAAGATTAAGGAGTGGCCCCATACTACAACTATAAATGTGCACCAAAGATCTTAAATTCTAGTGAAGTTTCTGGTTAGGTGTTTTTTTTTTTTTGGTTAGGTTTTTTTGAAATGATAAGACTTTTTCAAAAAAATTAGGTAGGGCAATGTGATAGAGCAACAATTTCAATGGCAAGCCTCACCATCTCATATATTGGACCTAGTTATACTCTATTAATCGATTATGTGATTAATTCTCTATCCATAAATTAGTCATCGACTCATCCGAATGAGATGTGGGTAAGCAGTTGGGGAGATGCGTCTGTATGAGTTGAAATTTCCCCATCACAATAAAAAGGTTCAACAACCAGCTCTTATTTATCCTGGAGGTCACTTAGTGTTCAACACTTGATATTATGCCACATTTAAGCAATGCCTTCATCTGAGCTCTAGCTCATCTGCAGGTTTGATATGCCAAGTTTGAAATTTTCATTTTGTAAAACCTTTCATCTTCTCACCACCCTCATTTTAACTTAGAAAGAAGAGCAGAAAAATGTTCCACATAGTTTTTAAGAAAATAAAAAGATTCAACCTTAGGTAGTGCAAGAAATAGCAGAACTGCTAACAAAAAAATACTACCCCCACCCTCCGAGTCTAAGTCCGAGTCCAAGTCATGCAATTGCTGAAGAGGGTGCTAAAACTCACCATCAACAAGATTGTCTATATCTTTATCTCTAGAAAAATGTAATGCAATACTACTACCACAGTTCAAAGTAAAGCTATTTAAGGACTAAAAGCTGAAAACCAAAATTTTTTAAATACTTCTAGCATCAATATCATGAGTGAAGCATGAGGTTCTAAAGAAAATGATAAAGAAATGAGGGAATATAAATTTTTTTAAAAATCTCAAAAAGACTTTCCAACCAAAGTAACTACCAGTTTTGTTTCATCTTCTTAGAAGTGAAATAAAACATAATGAACTAACTATTTTCATTGAAAATAAATTAAGAAAGAACGGAAAAAATTGTATACTCCACACATGTATTGTGTGTGACAAATGATGATAAGAAAGAGAGTTATCTCTGCCAAATATCGCAGAGTTATGTCCATAACAGAGGTTGCTTCATGAGCTATTTATATCGATGGTGATATGAAACTTACAACAACTTATGCAATGAACTTATTACTAATCAAAAAAACATTAAGAAATTTTTAACAGTATGGATTTTGTGAGTCATTTTCCAACAGAAGCAAACAAAAACATGAATATTAATCGAAAACTATATTTCCTCGAGGAAAAAAAAATGTTTAAATTTTAGATTTGATATATTAGATTGGGACAATTTGTGTTTCAATCTCACACTTTGTCAAAGCACTGGACATAAATTTTATCCTATTATTACTAACCAAGACCCACGCTATCAATTATCTCACAAAAGCCTAATAAATCATCTTTTCTTTTATTGCCAATATATATAGATATATATAATATGCATACATCATAGAACCATTAATATAGCTATCTCCATAATTCAAACCTTTGTCATCACGAATTGTCAAATAACTGAAAACAATTTTTTGTAGAGGCATTACAACAAACACCAATCATCCACCACAACAGATACCCATTCCATCATTACTTATTAAAAAAGAAGAAAAAGAAGAAGCAACAGCAGCTAATTTCAACGAAGATGATTAATTAAATAATAAGATTAAAAAAAATACCCAATTGCGTAGTGAAGGAAAGAATTAAGCAACAATTACCATCAGAACAGAAAATTTAGCACCAATTATGTATGTATAGATTGCAAGGGTTAGGATCTTACCAAAATCACGAACAGTCGTCATTGGTAGAAACGGTGACCACTGAGATTTGAGACCAGCTTGGGCGATCGGATGGTCACCATAAATGATGGGTTTGTCGTTGATGGGTAAGGGTGAGGGTGAGGGAATCACAAGATTGTCAGTTTTAGACAAAAACGATCGTCGAAACTTCATGTTCGAATCAGGATGTTCCTGGACTGATACACAAGCCGCTATTTCTCAGCACAATACTATTATTATCATCATCACTGACCTTCAAAATCTCTCTGTTTTTGCTCAAAACATATATAGATAGAAAAGAAAAGAGAAGAGAATGAGGGACGTTTTTCAAGCGTTATGCTTAAGGAGTGGAAAATTATTACAAAGAAAATCAGAGAGAGAGAGAGAGATGAAATTCGTAAGGAGTGGAATGATTTTGTGTGTCAGGGTGTTTGGGCGACGAAATTCTTCACTGAGTTAGGGCTGAAGAGTTGGGGAGATCAAATCAGAGAAGATTTTTTATTTATTTATTTTTTATTTTTAAAGATTGATGTTGGGGCTGAAAAGTTGGGGTTTTGATTTTTTTTTTAATTTTTAAATTTGGTGTTTGGTGCTTGAAATTTTTATTTTGGCGTTACTTTTTATTTTGGTCGTACCTTTCATGGCAGAAATTACGTGTCATGGAAAGTATAATATGTTAAACGGTTGGCTTTTGTGTGCCATGAAAAGTGTAATTTTTAATGGCTAGCTTTTTGTGCGTTGTGAAACGTTCAATATTTTTAACAGTTGGTATACGCATGTCGTGTATAATTGATATATTAATGGCATATCATATGCATGTCATAAAAAGTTTCATTATTTACAGCTAACATTGCAAGCCGTAAAAAAATATCGATATTAGCATTTACGGCATACGCAATAGACACGTCGTGGTTAGGAAATTATTTACGACATGCAAAAAAAAAAAAAGTCGTAAAAGTGAGAAACCACGACTTGCATTTACTGTATGTAGTTGATGTGAAACTGTAAAAACCTAGTTTTGTTGTAGTGCCTAAACCTCTCATAGGGGTGTTTTGAATGCTTTTGTGCAAAATGTGAACTCTTTGGGAATGTATGATGCAATCGTCGGATAGTATTAATATTGAGGCGATTCCTTTCAAACCTGAGGGTCATATCAGAATCAGAATTTGTGTCAAAATCCAAGGGTTTGTATTTGATATAATGGAAAAATATTGAAACCTGAACCAGAGCCAGGGTCAAATTGTATCTTGCTTTATTTTGACCAACATACCTGGTATCCCGATCTTATGCGGCATTTATTTGTAATGCCAGGTTTGTCTGAGCCAGAGAAAGAACAGTACTCGCCTTAACCCATCACAGTCCATCCAAATCCCAAAAAAAGCCTACTCAGCAAAGGTCCAGTCCATTTGATCCCAAAAGGCCAGCTCAGAAAAGATCCAATTCCAAAAGACCCATTCTAAAAAGCCCAATCCAGTCAAAACCGTCTAAACTAATCCAGTTCAAATACATCAATTATAATCGTGGTCAAAATCAGTAAGCTCTCAGCTTACACTCATTTATTTCCCCGATTGCCAAACCAGCAGGCCTATGATGACATAGAGTCCAGAAGAAGTTATGGCCATGATAGCAGCGTTAAACCAAGGAATTGCCATGCAAGATGACACCATTGTTGAAATGCAATGCCCATCTGGGGCATCTACTACACATCCAGTCCTGGGTCCCCAATCGAACTTTAACCCACCTCTGCTAGCTAAAGATTTGCACAGCTCAGATCCACAAGAAGGGTTGGCTCAAGCTCTAGTTTTTAGACTCCTGGTGCAGCCTAATGAGGTGCTTTATCCCCTTGATACTAATGATCTCGATCTGACCTTACTAAAAATTGCTAACCTTGAAAAGCAATTCAAAAAGGCACAGGGCCTTAACTTCATTCCCGACATTGAAGACGGGTATACCGAGGCTACCGTAAGACTCCCAGACAGATTCAAAATGCCACACATTGACCGTTTCGACGGGTTTAGAGATCTTATAGTACATATCCCGCTTTTCTTGGATGTCCTGAAACCAATGGGTCTGACTAAGCCTCAGAAACTATCTCTGTATGGAAGAACCCTGTCAGGCATAACAGTCACTTGGTATACCAAGTTGGAGGATAAAATGAAGCAGAATTGAGAAGAATTGGCTAATGCGTTTATCAATCATTATTCTTTAAATACCCAAATTGAAATGACCACTCAAGAGCTTGAAGCAACCCACGAGAATCCTACAGAACCTTTTGTGGAATTTGTTGCAAGGTGGAGAGCAAAAGCAGCACAAATGACAGATTGCCTGTCACGACCCAAACCTGCCCCTAAATGTTTGGACATGATCGGCTTGACCTGAGGCCTCAACTATAATCTTAAATTTTATTTATTAATGGGGCTTGAACGGAAGCAAGATAATAGAATAAAACATTCATTGAGCTATGACTACATGCTAGGATCTTAATGCATCGCCTTACATAAGTACATAACATTTCGTGCACCATTCACATTTACTGAATGTGGAAAAGGTTAACGACCCAAAAGTTAGTTATTGACAATATATACACGTGTCTATTCTTCTAAATTCCAACAAAATATGCCCTCATATGGTTTCTCAAAAATAAAACAAAAGAGTCACTTCAGGTGACTCAGCAAAATGGGTCCAGCAAAAGGCTCCTGGGCTGACCTAAGGCTGTCTCGCGACTTGATTACCTACAAAACATCCTTAAAAATGGAGTGAGCAAAGCTCAGTGAATGATAGCAACACATAACAGATCAGGAGTGCGAGTATAATTTAACAGTGTATATTCTTAAATCTTAAGTTGGTCTTATTCATATTTCCTTTTCTGAACGACCTCGGGCCCACATAAGACAAAACAGCCTTAGGCCCAATGTAATGCAGAACGGCCTTGGGCTCATCGTAATACAAAACAGCCTTAGGCCTATTATAATAGCAAAATGGTCTCGAGCCCAACAGAATACAAAACGGCCTCAGGCCCATCATATTAGCAAAATGGCCTCGGGCCCATCATAATAGCAACAGAACGACCTCAGGTCCATATCTCATGTGCCAAAGTTCAACATATATCAAACATATCTCATATAACACAAGTTGTTTACTAAAAGACTGAATAAGATATCGAACAACATATATAAACACAATACGTGAATAAAACATGACATTACACTACTATCACTCACTGTGATGCGGGTGAACGATGGTCCCCTCTTGTATGTGCCCTACACATAGAGCACAACTCGTAAGTACATCACATTTCCTTTGTTTCCTCTTATTTCTCAATTATTCGATTAGTTAAGTTTCATGTAATTAAATGCATTATGGGAACATCAAATGGACATAATAACACATTTAGAGGGTTGAAAAGAGTGAAAGAGAATCATAGAATTTTTTAGCTTAGGCCGCACGTGCGGAATTCCCCACCGCATGTGCGAGCAGGTGCGCCGCACATGCTGAGGCAAAGAGCCCCGCACGTGCGATCGTATACCCTGTTTTGGCAGTTCGAAACGTAGACAAAAACTCAACGAACCAAACTCATTGCATGGTATAAGATAAGGAAAATTAGCTCAATATCATGGTCTATCATCACAATGAACATGAATCACAAGCATAATTAGTCCATATTCCTCTTAAATTCATATATACATCCCAAATTCTTTATATTTCATCGATGCTTGGTTTATCACAATATACCTCTATAAACATCAAGATGCATGTGTGAGCTCAAAACATGTAGAACTAAAGGACCATAGCTCAAAACAACCTCAAACACAAGGATCATGCATCATAGCAACCAACTACCATAAGCAAGGCTCTTCTTGTAAATCCTAACTTACATGAATGTAAAGATTTTCTTCTCAAATCAAATAGAGAGAGAGAGAGAGAGAGAGAGAGAGAGAGAGATTAGGATGTTCTAGTGAGATTATACATACCTTGAACTCTAGTCTCAAAGCCCTTTTCAATTCTTTCAATCCTCATTCTTGTTGAGTCTCTCTTCTTCCCTCTCATTCTCTAGTTCCTTTTCTCCCTTTCTCAGGAGATATTAAGTCATCCATGTCTTTTATATCTATCTAATCTAAGTTTTAAGAGTGTTGAATCTAAATTTTTTCCAATTAATTCGCTACGAATCAAATTTTTACAAAACTTAATATTATGTCCTAAAAATTATGCTAATCATAAATGTAAAGTCAATTTTGGGTTATCGCACCTCTACGGCTTCCAATTTCAAATTCAAACACCGTAATTTAAATAGATTTTCTCCAATAACCAACAGATAGAATGATATAATTAAATAATTCAAATATGTAAGCACAACTCCATACGGAATTTCACATTAAACATGTAATTATTCATGTAACTAGAAATGTAAAGCATGTAAGAGTGTCGGGTTGTTACATTGCCCTTCTGAGAGGGACCAAGTATGGATAGTGGTACAGAACCTTGAGCCTGATATGTTGCAAAAATTGATAGTCCCTCCACTGTTCACTTTCAAAAATTTGCATGAATTAGGGATTCAGATTGAGAGTGCATTCCACAAAGGGATTATCCCCAGAACAAGTGATCCAACAAGGAGGGTGTTTTCTTGGAGCACTATTCCTAAACCCACTGAATACTGTTGTCGCCACTCCTAAAATTACCAACCAGTTTGCCAATACAAGTCCACAAATTGCCAGCCCAACCCGAGCTTAAGGCAGAACTTTCACCCCCTCTATATGAGCCTAACCAGCGCACTTAAAATCTTGACAGAATGAGGGTATCTCAAACCCCTCGATCCCGAACCTCTTCTTGACCCACTCCATGCTAGACATAACCCCACTAAATACTATGTGTACCATCAACAGCGTGGTCATGGCACCGATCGTTGCTACTGCCTTCATCATGAGGTTCAGAATATCATTGATAACCAGACGATAGCTCCACCTCAAGATCCCAATGTTACCACCAACTCACTTCCCATCCATGACCAAGTATCTCTTGCCCACCTTAACCTCATCCATACTCCACTTTCTACCTTTAACCCTAACATATACATCACCCTAGCCCATTTACCCAAACCTGAGGTGTTCATTCAAGAAAGCACTGATTTGTGCATGATGGATAGACCCACTCCGGTTCGGACACATCAAGAGCGCCAAATGGCCGAACCCACTACTGCTGAGATGTTGAGAATCATTGAAAACCTTCAAGGAACGGTGGCAGATTTAACCTTTGGGGTTTCAACCCCATCAAAGGATCCTCCAATCTTGGGACAAGCTAAAGATGGAATGGGCCAATCAAAAGCAAATAGGCCTTGCCCAGATATAGCCGTCCGACTCATTGACAGGGCTGAAACAAGTGGCACAAATAAGGTCGAGGCAAGTATTGATCCCTATGCACAACTTCAGTCAGCTATTAAAACTTTAAAGGTCAAATGGTTGAACAAACAACAAGTGCTTGAAGTTGTTGCAAAGATTGTGGATAACACTTTT